CGGTCACCGGAGCATCCATGCCCAACCCATAATTCCGTTTGTGTTCGAAGAGCCTCCGATGACCAGAGCATCCATGCCCAAACCATAATTCCGTTCGTGTTCCAAGAGCATACGGTCACTAGAGCATCCATGCCAAAACCATAATAACGTTCGTGTTCGAAGAGCCTCCGGGTGTCAAGCACGTGTGCCACAGTAAAGTGGAGTTCGCACGGCAAAGCCATGATGGGCCCACCTTAGGCACGCAGCTTTTGGACCGTTGCTGGGGCCACTTGAAGCAGTGCGTCCCCAGGACGTTGTCCAATAGAAGACACGTCCGAGGCGAGCCACAGGCCATGAAGTACCTGCATAGGGTTTAGGGTGTAGGGTTTAGGGTTTAGGGTTCAGGGTTTAGGGTTTAGGGTTTAGGGCTTAGGACTCCCTGGTGGAAGTCGGTCGGAGTGTCCCGCTTCTCGGCACAGTTCGGGGAGCTCGCAAGAGACGTCTAGAAAAAACGCGATCGCAAAGCCTGTGAAGTCCTCCAGAATTCAGGCATGGTGCCAGCACGATTCCTGCCATCAAGCTGCTACAATTTTTTCAAAATCGGGACCCCTCATATGGAAATCCCCTTCAAAATCGCACTATATCGCATTAAGCGCACTTTATAAAATGCAAAATATGGAATTCCGGAATAATAACAGTTCCTAGCACTTTCAACACGTCCCTTAAGCCTGTAATACCAAAAACAAGCTTGCTTACTCGCACGGCCCCTTAGAGGCGCCGTAGCCATGTTGTTAATCATCAAGGCTATCATTTTGATGGCTACATGTATAGTTCTTCTGCTCACCATGCTCATCGTCATGACAGTCCCATCATGGGCGTCGTTTTTGATTAGCGACGTCGTCATTATTATCATCACTGACAATCACTCCTGTCTCCGTTGTTAGCCACACGTGAGTCCCTATCGGCTTACCCATCGTCATGCTCACCGTCATTGTGACCCCACACTGCTCATCATATTTCACATATTTTAAAGACTTCATATCAGATCCGCTAAACTTGTTTCACGTTTCACGCGCGATCCTCATATACATGGTCATCATCTATTCGAATATTACTGTCCCAATTTCATCGCTATCGGCCTCATCAACAGATGTTACTTACGTGTGACCAGCTGGCATCAGCCTGCCTTATTTGCATCTACCACATGCTCGTCATTGCTGGCGCATGGATTATCCTTAAGCTTTTTTTAAGCTTTAGGGGCTATCAGGTTTTTAGGCCGAAGGAGGTGGGCGGCTACTCGCACTCGAACTGTAACCCATTCGAGAGCTTGGGCGATGTACTCCAAGCACCATGCCTTATGATCAGTTTTACAGCATTTGAGTTGTCAAGTTAGTAGCTCTCGTGCTTCCAGAACATATGAACGTTTGTGTTGCAAGAGCATACGGCTTTCACGAGCATCCATTGTGGCCAAGATGATAGCGCTTGTGTTACCAGAGCACGAGCATCCATGCTGGCCAAGATCGCAACGAGGCGCTGTAAATACCAAGAAATCCGGTGCGTGCGTCGTGCACCATTTTCCGTTTCAATTGTTTGTGTCCGAAACCGTGCCCAAACCGCATGTTTAGGAGCCTTTTTTCTAGGCCCCTGGAAGTTATTGAACTGATGCTGGAACTGAGGTACGCATCTTCGCACAAACCGCAGAACACTAACCCATGCTGTGGGCCGTCAGTAAGGTCCTTATCAGAATTGCCTCATCATGCCAGCATTACCATCTTTAGCAACGTGCTGGCCAGAATCGCGATCATGATTCAGTCATGATATTTGCGCCGGAAATGCCCAGACGATGGCAATAGCGATCGTCAGTTGCCATCATCATCATCATCATCATCATCAAGATTATCAGTACCGCTGGCACCATCATCAGGGTCATCAATACGGTCACGCCATGGCCTTGGCCGGCACCGTCATCATGGTCATGGCTGTCGCTGCCGTCTCTGGCATGGTGATTGTTGATCATCATCATCAGCATCATCATCAGCATCATCATCAGCATCAACACGAACGGGACATCACGTGCTTGTTCATGTGGTCTTTTTGTCTTTATCTTCAGCTCCTGGCCCCATCTTTGATTTGCTTTCGCGATTTCTACCGCGTCTGTACTTGAAATGGCCGCACCAGAGTGTGGCGGCCCGCCTCCCCAGCCCCTTTAGGTCAGAGTCAAGATTGGCCATACAGCCTCGTGCCCGAGGATTATGCCCTGGCGTGCTGAGATTTAATTGGGCAAGAAACATACGACAAGCAAGCAGCGATATCGAAACAATAACAAGCAACTACATATGGAACATTGATTGTTAGCACCCTTTTGCATGCAGCAGTAAAACCGGAATGTCATACAACCCTAAGAGGGCCAAGTGCTGTGTGCTCGAACTTGCACAGTGTCACTATTGTTCTTTGATATGTCTTGCAATTTGGAGCATACAACGCCAAGCCTGGGTTTTGCGCTCTCTAGCTGTTCGGTTGGCTGTGCATAGAGAGTATCAGGCCGTACACTCGCAGTTTGCTTGGTACATGGGGTTCCCATACAGTGATAAGTTTTTGCTGGTAGGTAAGGCTTTTGCACAGTCAGCAGGAAGGCAACTAATACGGCTGTAAAACTGTCTTAGCAGAATAGATGGTGTCAGAATTGCCATTTTTTCAGTGCCATAGGATAATGACTAGCTGCATGATCACAAGCACGTTGGCACTATGGCCGCAGCAAATCGACATCCAACCATGGGTGCAGAGGTTCTTCTTGCCCGGGGGTTTGGGCTAAAAAATCTTGAGCAGTAGTGGTGAGAATACAATGACCTGGGCTGCAACAATGTAGATTGTCTTTGCTGGAAGTCAGCCAGTAGAAGACCTCTGTCCTGCACCCCAGATTTCAGCGAAGAGCGACAAGGAGACCATCGCGAGATGCCTGATGCTTTGAATGACATAGCATAGACATAGCATAGAGAGAGGCCATCTCGATACTTTCGCAATTCTGATGTTGACTCGGATTATGTGAGGTGAGGTGGTGGGGTGGTTGGCCAGGCAGTGACTGCATCGCACATGCTCGCAGGGTTGAGCAACGTGTGTCCAGGCAGGCAACACAGAGTCAGTTCAAAGTGAGAAAGTAAGAAGCAGGGCAGCGGAGGAGCCAGAATTTGTTGACCGGGAAACATCCAAACGCCTTAGGCCTGGCATGTTTCAGCCCAGACTTAGCAGTACAAGAATATGTCTGTACATCATGCCTGAGGGTTTGCCTGCAGACTTCTGGTCTTTCATGCGAACTCGGTCAAGCGAATTTCCATTCGAACTTGGCGATGAGGCAAAAAATGTGTAAGGAAAACGGAGCACTAATCGTCGGGAAGCTTGCGGTTCCTCTCATGTTAATTGCCAACCCCCCGGTTCAATATTGACTTTCCGCAGTTCAGTTTTGCGAGTTTAGTTTCTCAGAGCCGCGGGGTTTGAGAATTCCAAGACCAGCATGCCCTACCCAGCTCGGATTTCATGAGACTAAAGAGCAATGGTCTGTCTTTGCACCTGCCTTTATGCAAAAAAATAGGAACCACAAGTTTCAACCCGATGTTCGAGCGCGCTAGGAGATCAGTGCGAAAACGTTCCCACAGAAGAAGAATCCGCTCAGGGACGGAAGCAACTAGCAAGCAACCTCCGCTTTGGACGGTGTGCTTCTTGTTTCATCCCGTGAGGAAACGCAAGTCGCAGCAGTGACCACCATGATTAAGCATTGCACAAAGCCAAGGAATTTGGGTGCAAACGATTTCGTGCAGAAACCGCTGCCCGAATGCAAGCAGGGATAGGTATGACAAGAAGGCTGGCAGAGCGGAAATCATGCTACATTTTGGTTTGCCAAGTGCCTCAAATGCCCACTAGCTAGCTAGAAATGGTAGTTTCCATAAATAGGAGACCAACATCTAGACCCCAATATACCAGAATCCTTACTATGGGGGACTTCCAAAAAATGTGACCCCTAATTTGCGGAAACCCCCAAACTGTTGAGGGATGAGATGGAGCCTACTTATTCCAATTTGAGTAGTATTTGATTTGCGGATACTATGGTACCCAATATAGAGTAAGATTCTATCCTCCTTTTGGGGTATAGTATTTCATATAAGGAATACAATCTTACTGCTGGGATCGTTTCATGGGAACGACCCAGCTGGGGCTGGGGTTCCGTATTGAGCCAGAATTTGTGATGCCCAAGCCTTTTGAACCTGGGTAATTGCAAGCCCGCTACGGATAGATCTTTCATCAGCTTAGTCCAGCTGGAGCAAGTCGAGAATGGCTGAGGTTCAACCTTGCGGAGATGTTTGCCAGGGTGAATTTGCATTGCTCGCCGGCTTATGAGAAGTTGCTTATACTTTTCACGGGTGTGTGGGTACCTGCCGCAGAGTTGAGAAACAGCTAAGGTAGGCTTGCACGCGCCTTCCGCGGTCGCGGTGAAAAGATGCCGACAGTCGAGCCTCAGGTGCCGAGCACATAGAACATAATAGAGCTAAAGGGTTTTCCATTTCGTTGCAGTTTGGAGCTCAACAACGGAGTTTTTTCTTGCGTGCATAGCTGCAGATGAATCCTTGATGTTTCATGGCAAAGGAGAGGCAAGAATCAAAGAAGATGGTTCTCGCATCTGTACACTTTGACTTCTCCTGAATTTGGCTGTGGGTTAGCCTTGGATCCCGCGCGTCCTGACTTGAGACAACAGGCTATAGGGATATAGAGGGAACATATTGGGGTTATATAGAGAATAACGGAAAACAGAATGGAAACTACTATTTTAACGTAGCTTTATTAATGTAGGTTTATAGTGAGGTTATGGCCTGAAACCCTGACAGTGAAATGATGATCAGATTGTGGGCATGGATGTTCTGGCTTCATTTCACAGGGTGGGAAGTTGTTGTCCCCTCCAGTCCCTGAAACCACAGGCACTTTTTCCAAGGAAGGGAGGAAGTATGCGAATCAGTTGTTTCTTATGCACAAGATTGAGCGATTAAAACCTCCAAACTCTTATGCGTGTGTGACTAGCACCAGAAAGAGTCGTGGGTTGCAAAACGGAAGGTTTGGGATGCCTGTTTTGGTGTTCTTCATCCTCCAAATCCTATCTGGACTTGTTGCTCGCAGTGTCCAGCCTTGACACGGAAAGTCACTTGTGCGCTGGACGATGGAGCGCCCACATGCTAGCGCTGCTGGCCCTGTACTAGTGAGAAGCTGGGAGCAAGATGCCATACTCGCACTTGATATCTGAAACCTCATGACCCGACTTCACTTCAAGCAGCACTAGTAGATTGTGGTGAACTTGACCACAGAGAGTTAGATGACGAGACATGAGAGGTGGATGACGATATGGTTGTGGAGAAGTCTCTCCTGAAGGCTCGGGCTGTCAGGGTGCTCCTGGTAGAGGGTTTAGGGTTTAGGGTTTTAGGGTTTAGGGTTTAGGGTTCAGGGTTCAGGGTTTAGGGTTTAGGGTTTAGGGTTTAGGAGAGATGCCCAGCATATTGCCAGGAGCTACTTCCAGGGGAGCTTCTACAAGCCATATCATCAGCCGCATCCTCAACAGCCACCAAGGTGACCCGAGAGGCAGGCACCATTTCAATCCCCAAATTGTTAGTCAGTCCATCCCTGTGACTGGGATTTGATTAGTCTCAGACTGCTGGGCGTCTTCAAGGGATTAGACTCAAAAGGCTCTACGTACTTGTACATGCAACGGTTGATCGTGAGCGAAGCTGTTAAGAATAGCCCTCACTGAGGCGTCCTGTGACTTCTTGTGTCATGGTTCTCAGACGCAGGTGGCCCGCAGCCGCGTCGAAGAGTTCCTGAGCCGCTTGCCTGGGACCCTTCGAGCCCAGCTCATGGTGCCTGTCATTGTCATGCAGTCCGGTACCCTCTCAAACCTCTATTCAGACAGTGTCTGACGTGCAAGGCTACGGAGATTTTTGAACATGATCTCCGGATCATCATTTCAAAGGAGCGAACGCAGCTAAGTCTGAGTTGCTGACAAAACTGGTGCATCTTGCTGAGGCAAGCGCGAGTCACCATCAACAGTCCATGCTGACCAAGACATGCAGGCGCTCCTCGTCCCCAATCACCGCAAGCACACTATGGTCACCACAGATTTGGGCGCTGTCTGCACAGTTGCCTCGCGCCTCATGACTGCCAAGGAAGTTGGTAAAAGCGGAGAAAGAGGCAAAGCAAGCCGTGGGCGTGATGGACAAGTAGCTCAGCGGCAAAGAAGTCCCCAGCGCGACCTTTTTTTCTTGCGGCCTGAACGCCGGTGGTCTGAGGCTTTCTGCGAGCCAGGGTCTGATGAAGCGCGGGGAAAGCGCCCGCTTGCGGCTCCTGGAAGAGGAGGCTGTGCGAAATTGTAATTGCATAATTCCAACCAGCGTTCTACAGGTCAGATGAGCAACAGCAACTTTAAGGTGCCCAAGATATGCTACTGTAGTTGATTTGGAAGAGCTTTCCCATTCAGTTTTTAAAGCCGAGAGAAATGCCTCTGCTGCTGCTGCTGCTGCTGCTGCGGCTGCTGTTTTGGATCACGGGCTTTTCCGTTAGCCGAGTGCAAGGTGTCCACGGACTGCGGACTGTACAGTGCCTCTGCGGGACACCATGCTGTAGCATGTACGAGTGTGAAAAGCCGGAAATTGCAAGTACAAACAGAATGCCTAGCACACGAACGAATCGGCCGTGCGGCCATGCTTGCCGTTTGGACGGAGAAATCCAAAACTTGCAGCCAGCCCGAGCACTAAATACTTCCTTTGCCTACTGGACACATCTGAGTCTGCCTTTTCTGGCCATACACGGTATGCATTCTGTCAAGCAGAAGCCGGAGCATCAGCAGCATCAGCACCAGCATCAGCAGCAGGAGCAGGAGTAGGAGCATGAGGTGTAGTTGCGTGTCGGTTTACATAGAACAGGGAAGAATTTTAGTGCCTAATGACACCCAAGCTGCGCCCATGTCAAAAGTTTCTTCTCAATAATGTAAGCTGCAGATGACATATAGGGGTTATATTGGGGGTATATTGGGATAATGGAAAAGAACATGGAAACTACTATATTTTATAGAATTTAGGGTTTAGGGTGAGGGGGACTTTTAGTACTGTGGCCCACCAGGTGAGAAAGAGGGAGCAGTGCTTGCTCCACTTCGGTCAATGGCGCCTGGGACCGATTAATTTGGATCACTATACTTGTCATTATCGTTCTTATGGCTATTATTCTTCTTATTGCTATATTCTTAGCATTCTTATTCTTTATTCCTATTTTTGTTGAGATTATTCTTATTCTTACCACTATCACTGCTATTCTCATTATCTCTATCATCATTTGGGTGGTTGTCGAAATTATGGTCCCTTTTTGGGTCCCTATTATAATACGGCACCTAATATTTAGGGTACCCAAAAAGGGACCATAATTTTGACAACCACCCATTTGTGTGTCCTAGGCGTGACACCCAGACCACTCTGCCGCCCAGCTGCGTGGGTGAGCAGATCGTGAAGAACGTCATCCGCGCTGAGGCTCTGGGCTTTGACAGGTAAACATTGGATACGTCCCCACTGAGTAATAGTTGGATAATATATATATATATACATATATGGGGGTTTCTTAAAATTACCCACACCCCCACCCCTATTTGCCCGCAGCATCTTCATGTTGCGTGCGCATCCGCGGTCATAGCATCCGAATAAATACTTCCACAACTGCATGGTTACTGTTATTTACAGCGAAACACGATACTAGCAAATGCATGCCGGCACCCACAATAACGTTCACTTCGACCACATCCACAACAAGCGAACCCATGCTGGCACCCATAATAACGTTCACTTCGACCACATCCACAACCACCAAAACACTGCAAGACACAGCACATTCTAATGGGCGGGCTTTTGGCGCGGGCAAATAGAGGGGGGGGGTGGCGTAAAATTAGGGGTACTATTTTGGGGTCCCCATAATCAGGACTATAGTATTTTGGGGTCTATATTGGGGTCCCCCTGTTTTGGGAAACTACCATATAGTTATATATATATATATATATAGATTAACGGGCCCTGAATATGACCCCTATGATAGACTGTTAATGGGAGGGGCAGGACCCAAGGTAGGAGAGATTCAGTTGGGAGTTTCTCTGCAGAATACCAATGTCCCCTAAACCCTAGACCCTAAACCCTAATCCTTTGAGGGGGACCCCCCACATCCTCATGTTGACTTGAATATATCCCTAAAGTCCCTATAAGGGCCCCTTCTTGGACCAACTCCCAGTTTTCTGAGACAAGCCGAGCCGGTCTGGCTGGGCAAGAAATCCTTCATGATTGCTGTCAGTAGTGAGCCTTTGCCACTTTTTTTCGCCCAAGCTGCCTGCAATTCGTTGGGGTTATTTATGCACACATATCATGTATTCATATATATAATATATATATATATAATCCCCATGTAACCCCTATACAAACCCTATATACCCTAATGTACATCCTGTCATTCAAGCTGCTCACCTTAAAACACTACTTGAGGATGGAGCATTGCTGTAACACCCTGCACAACGGAGTTTCTCAAAATTAGGGTTACCTTTAGAGGGGATAATAGGGGATATCTAGGGGACATATAGGGGTTACATATAGTTTAGGGTTTCCCAAATTTAGGGTTACTTTTTTGAGGGGTATAGTATTTTGGGTCTATATTGAGGCCCCTCTATCTATTGAAACTACCATATGGGAGGCATTCAGAGACTGCCTGGTTCCCGTACTACCCTCCCTAAGGATAGCTAGGGCGAATCAAGGCTGATTAAAGGGGAACCCAGGAAGGATTCGCTGTAGGGGGACTACCTACAACCCTCAACAGCGTTAGGGAAACCTCCTAGACCCTAAATTTTAAACCCTAAACCCAATGAGACTGCCAGGAGACCCTACTGATGAAAGATGTCAACATCAGCCACATTCTTGCCTCGCTGCCTGCAGCCGATTTTTCTTTGCAAGTTGGTGCAGTGCGTGAGCAAGCTTGACTTGAATTCTTGGCAAACGACCTGGGACGAAGTAACCTCCCCTAAACCCCAAACCCCAAACCCTAAAACTCAAAACCTAAACCGTAACCCTTGGGGACCTTGCCTTCAGCATCACAAAGTTGGGCTCATGGTTGGGCCCAAACAACTCATAAACTCACAGTGCTCTTGTTATAGGACTCATAGCCTAAACTACTTAAACAAGTGGGGTATATAGGGTTTAAGTGATGTTACCCCTCCCCCCAATAATGGAAGATCAAATGGACAAGAACATGGAACATGAAATGGAACATAGGGAGAGTACGAGCCAAAGTGTGAACTCCTTGAAGGGGGTTATATGGGGGAGCATTATAGGGAATGTTAAGGGGGATGCTGAGAGTTTAGACTTCCCTAAACCCCCTAAAACCCCCCTAAACCCCCTAAAACCCCCCTAAAACCCCCCTAAAACCCTAGTTTCCATTTTCTTTTCCATTATCCTTTTTTAACTCCAATATGTCCCTCTATAAGCCATGAATCTGCACCCTGCATCCATGTTGAACCTAGCCTGAAGCCCTCAAGCCCTACACCCTAAACCTTAAATAGTAGTTTCCATTTTCTTTCCCATTATCCTATAAAACCCTAATATAACCCTAATATAACCCTGATATAACCCTAATATAACCCTAACACAACCCTAATATATATAAAATATAATTCTAATATAACCCTAATATTACCCAACAA